AATCTTACAACAGATGGCGCCACACGCAATTTTAACTTTTTTGCCAGGAAAATTACGCAATTAGTTGCTGAACGTTTTAGAGAGACATGCCATAAATGTAGTAACTTCCGTTTCCGGTTATTCATTCGTGCAATAGGGCCTAATGTTTAAGGTCGTTTAAAGAAGTTAAATATTCGGCCCTAATATAACAAAAGAATATAAATATTAGGCACCGTTTGCACGTGTGCATTAAGCACGTGATTTTTTTTTCGAGATAAATAAATAAAAAGTAGAAATTAAGTAACTTCCGTTTCCGGCACGGGACCATTACGAAAATTGGCACGCGTCATTGCATCACACGACGTATTTTCGCTAACAAATCGTTTACATTTGTTAAAACGTTTTCTATTTATGGTCGATACAACAGCTGGTCGCCCACTCACGCCCCAGACATAACTTCAAAACTAGTAGACAATTCTCATTGGCTACATTTCCCCCACGCGCTGTACTTATCAATCAAACATTCAGCATATCGATTTTTCCACCAAAAACAATACTCGTCCCCCTCACACAGGAAGCAACGACACGGGACTATACGTCACCGTCCATTTTTTACTTCATTTTGAAGTAAAACTATTAACTTTCTAGCAAAGGTCAAAGGTTAATGAATAGGAGAATCGTATTTCCCAGCCGTCTTCGCTCGTAATCAAGTGTTTAAACGAATGGAAATAGTAAACGACTTGAAGTTACTTGTATCTGATCCGCTATATCGAGGTTACGTCTTTAATTTTTCGATGATATTATTAAGTTAAATATTATCAATTAATTTTCCCCATATACCGTGTATTTGTTTATTAAATTCTTGTAACGGAATCCCGTAGATTGGATTGTTAAATTAGTCGGAAAGTCACTTCTTTCGGGCGTGAAATTATCAAGGTTTCAGCAGAAATTTATAGGAAATTGTGAAATATATATATCAATATATACAAACGCTCGTGTAAGCCAATTAAATACGTCACACCGCTTTAGGATTTCGAGTTTTGCCTTTTAATTAAGTTCTTATTTTATCGGAAATTAATTCAATTTTAATATTAATATTTTATGTTATTATTTTGCACGTGATTCTTTAGCAAGTGGAGAAAGCGCTTCTATATCGGATCCGTACGTTCGTCTGTTTGTCTGTTATCTCTTTACACGTGTCATAAGTATAGTTTGAGCTGCCAAAGAATAGACGTGATTCAGCCTCAGCTGGAAGTGTTTACGTCAGACGAAAGGGGTGAAAGGAGACGTGTGTGTAACGTTAGAATTTGTAAAAAAATAAAACAATAAAATTATAAGATGACTCAACTCCCTGGAAGTAGCCACGTGTCATCTCTTTCGGCTGTGTAGACTCTTCCAGCTCATGCTGACTCGTGTCTACTCTTTGGTTACTCGGACTATAGTAACTAGTTGTGGTGTAGTAACATGCAGTGTAATAAACGAACTATTATTTATTGTGACATCATTACAATGCCAGGCTGCAATTTTTAAATATCACAAATCAGCCGGTCATCTGTCTAACACCTTTCGGGAATAATTTTTGAATTAAAACAACGCGACTTTCGGTTTACATTAGAAGAAAGTATAGAGTAAATCGGGGCCTTCTACCCCTTAGGTTTCCTTATCCCGTCTCGTTTTTTCATTTATCTAACTCCATTCTCGAGATTAAGAAAGAACAGACAGACAGACAGGGTGGGAATTTGTAGGTCTACAATTTTTTTAAATTGCAACCCAATATATACACCACTAACAGAAGCAGTAGTAAGTACAACACTTGAAAATTACCGGGCTACATACATACAAACACACGAACTTTCTGTTAAGCACGCATACGTAACAGAAAGTTCGTGTGTTTGTATGTATGTAATCTGGATTTTTGTACTTTTGTTTGCCTTTTCGAGAGAGAAAATACAATTTTTTGCTGCTATTATAATTATTTTTTTTTTAATTTTTGCCGACGGTATACAAACATTACAACTTAATAAAACTTTTAGTTTGATATTTGACATTCTCTAGCAACTATTTAGATTTATAAGCATTGAGATTTAAGTGGAAACGACTTCCTTTGAACCAGTTAAACTCAATGCAATCCTCTTTGAAGGTAGTTGCACATAATATAGCCATTCAGCTTCATCTATTGAATAAATTCTAAGTTTCCTCGACTCTTATGTCAGGTGTGAATTAAAATCTACTTTCTACAAAATGCAAAGAATTGGAAAGAAGAGAAAAATAAAAGATGAAGTTTACATTTAGCAAAAAATAAATAATTAATTAAAGTTTTAATTTTAATTAGTTTTTAATTAATTGGGTCAGTCAGGGGCAGAATGCCCCCCCCCCGATTTACTGTATATGAACTTTTAATGTAAACCGGAAGTCACGTTATTTCAATTCAAAATTTCCCCTGAAAGCAGTTAATAGATGACCCGCACGACTTTATTGTTAAAGGAAAAGTATGATGTACAGGGGCAAGACACTACTAATTTGAGGTGGAAAGCATATATTTTAAATTAACTAAATTAATAATATAATTAAAAATTTCAGCTCCCAGCTCTATCCTAAAAATTAAGCTTTTTGCCATTTTATAATTATTAATAATATGAACATTTTAAAAATAAAATCCGGTAACAGATGGTGCCACAAGCAATTTTAACTTTTTTGGCCGGGAAAGTTAAGCAACTCGCTGCTGGATTTTTTTTAATTATTAAATATAAAATAAGAAAGGTAATTCAGTTTTAATATAATAAATACATGTTTAATTTGAATTTTTTTTTCTTATAAATTTAGTATAATTCTCCAAAAATTAGGCATTTTTAATGAAAGAAATTTACGTTATAGCTGCTAATTGACATTAATTAGAATTAAATTTAATTTTTAAAGCATCAAATATTGTGAATTTATATAAATTTATGCATTTTTTTTTACATAGGAATACTCGGAAGAATTTAAATTAAAAAGTCAATTATTACAATTCAAAGTTTCAAATTAAATTTGAATAATTAATTCGATTTTCACTCGAATAATATTTGAATTAATTATTCAAATAATTTTCCAAAATATATTTATTTATTAAAGTCATTTCTCTCTACATTATTTAATAATCGCTACAGATAAATTGATTGTAGGGATAATGCAAAAAGATAAAGAAAATTTCAAGGAAATGACCTTGCAGTTTAATTATTATTATTATTATTGGGCTGCAATTTTCAAATTGTAAGCCTATACATTACTAATGTCGTCCGTCTGCATGTCTGTCCTTCATTAATCTCCAGAACGTAGTTAGAAAGATAAAAATTAAGACCAGTTATAGAAATCTTTGTGGCCAGATACACCAATTAACTATATATAAAATTCCTATCTGGGCCGGAAATTACGTGATTTTCTAAATTAAAATATAATTAAAAATTGTAGCCCAGAATAATATTTAAATTGAAATCACGTGATTTCTAATCAAAACCGGAAGTTTATATACAGATAATCGGGACCTACTACCTCTAAGCTTTCCACATCCGGTCTCGAAACTGTGAAAGGACAGACAAACAGACAGAATGGATGCCAGTGAGAATTTATGTCTGCAATATTAAAATTTCAGCCCAATAATTTAATAATAATTGACTTTACTTTTAAAATATTATATGTAATTTTTATCAGGCCTTATTAGAGGGAGGCCCACNGGGCGACCCGGGCTACTTGTATATAATGTATTACAATATAGTCTATATATATATATATATATAACAGAATTACTAAGTATATTAATGTGTATTTTAATAAGTTAAACGTTAATATGCCATTAGGTAAGACAGTCGACTGGAACCACCCGGAACCACATACTTTTATCAGTGGCGCATTATAGCTTCATAGGTGCACGGGCAAATTTGAATTAGGGGGCCCCGTGTACAGTGTTGAATTTAAACATTTTTCTTCGGGGTCATATTTGGGGGAATCCCCTGGTATCTCATTTGTTTTTAATACGATCTCTATCAGGCTAAGTTCTGCATTGAGTCAGTGCGCCCTTCAGCAATCTAGGGCCGTACTTTAAATTTTGATATTCTAACTACAGTAATGAGTTATGAATGATAGATTCGTGGTTGCTACAGGCAATTGCCCTTTTTTTCCCCCATGGGATAACGCGCCACTGACTTATATAAAGATGTTTATACAGTATTAACTCTTATTTCAAATTATTTCTAATGATCCTTTGTATTATTACTCAAAACAATATGAATAATCATACCAGGTGATATTTTGTGATGAAACAAGTAAACTTACAGCACTGTTGATACTTATATAAGGATTGTTACGTATTTATAAGCTTAAGAAGGATACGACTGCAAACACTTAAATTTATATAACTTACTCATTTATATTAATGCTTTTGTAAAATTTATCACGAGAAAATTTCAAATATTTCTCAATATTCTCTCTTCTATTAACTGACAGAACTATGTAAGAGTAATCATACCAAGTGATTTTTCTATAATGAAACAATATAGGGATAATAAATTGCATGCATTGTGAATACTTTAATAAATTGAAGTTAGATACTGTGTGAAGTTATACATTTATATATTGAAGGACAAAAGAATAACACTTGTTTATTCAACCGGAAATATTAAATTTATAAAAATTTATTATTTATATAAAATTTTATTTTCCATCATCTGACAGAACCGTATTAGAATAACCACACGAGATGTGATTTTATCAATATTAAAATTGCACAAAAGGAGATAAAAAAAATAAATAAATTTAAATGACGTAAATTTTTTTATAATCGGAAAGAATTATCTAATTTAAATATTATTTTAGAAGTAAATTTTACTGTAGTAGCAACAGCGTCAAACTTCTTAAAGTTGTCAATCGATCGATGCTTCGACGAACATCCGCCTCTGTCGCTGTAATCGTTGTCTTGTCTGACGTCACAACCAGCTGAGAGAAAAGTGGAAAAGCTCCTAACACATTGCCAAGCTGACATTAAAGATATAGAGTGAGGAAGATTAACATCCTCCGTAATGTTGCTTAATAACAGCGATTGGATAATTGGAGATTCCAACGGAACCATAATAATAAACGATATCAATAACGAAACTTTATCCCTGTACTTTTCATGGAGCGACGATGCTCTGTTAAGAATATGTCTTTATTCCATAATATTTATTTTTGCAATTCTAGGGAATAGTCTTGTCATCATAACTTTGGCACAGAATAAAAGAATGAGGACTGTCACCAACGTGTTCCTCCTCAATTTGGCCATCAGCGATCTTCTTCTCGGAGTTTTCTGTATGCCAGTCACTCTTATTGGGGGACTTTTGAGGGATTTCGTCTTTGGATCTGCTATGTGTCGACTTTTTCCCTATTTACAGGGTAAGAATGCTTTTAATCGCTCTAATATCCGTTGTAATTACTTAAAGTTATATAGAGAATTTCCACGTATTTTGATAATTAAAGCATAATTTCATTAGTTATATAATCTTGAAAACGTGAAGTTTGAAAAAAATTTTAATATATTTATATATTAATATTCGAGTATTCGATCATTTTTAAATGTTAAGATATTTATTGATGTTTTTGTGAACGTCTGTACGAGTATTTTGAATTTTTAAAATATTATTAATAGAAGAAATATAAAAGAATTTTATAAATGTCTAATATATTGGATGATCGTAATGTATTAAATGTTGTCTACAGAATATTTAGCAGTCCAAATGCAACCAAAATTTGGTATGGTGGCATTTCGGGACACGCGGAAGACATTTCCATAACAGAAAATAGTACCAAAAGTCACCACTGTGGCACTTTTAGCGCTGTAAGTTGTGCGATCCTACTCCGTGTGATTTTTGTTACATCTTGGACGTGTTGCAGTTTGGCAACGTCGAAAGACCGATTCACACTGCGCTTGAGAAGCGTCACAGAGGATCAATTACGGTCGGCATTGAACACGTTATTCATTGTCTTCAGGTTTTTACACCTTTAAAATGGGGACCACATTGCTTGCATCGCTAAGGTTCTCTGTATGGCACATTGCACAAATAAAATGTTGGTTGCTTGAAGCGCCAAAAGTACCATAATGGCGAGTTTTGGCAATCCAAATTTGATTGCAACTGGGCTGCTAAACATCTATATAGACAGCGTTAAATAGGGGTATTTTACTCTATATTGTAAATTTTCTTCGATTATAATAAATAGAAAAATTTGAAATGCACTGATTTACACATAAAATACAATTTTAAAAATTAGAAAAACTTAAAAAGGACTTCTAAAGCATTTAATAAATCTTAACTACAGTATTTTATTGATAGTATAATATATAAGTAAGTAAGTTATATCAACGATTTGTGTATGGAGTTCATCGACATAATTACAGAAAATATGAAAAATCCGTTGAAAAATTGAACATTTTATATATTTCATGCATAAATTACACGTTTATCATTAATGCTATCAAGTTTTCAAGTGTCACATACGCACGCTTTATAATACCCTTATATCCTTAGCATTTCAATGTTGGAAATTTCAGTTCGGTGCTACAAGCAAAATCAATTATAGTCGAGTAAATACCGTTTGATCGAAATTTAATGGAGGAAAGGCAGGAAAGATCCTCTTCTATATCATAGTCAATGCATCCTTTCATGCAATCAAAACATTTTAATGCATTACTATTCGCCATTTTCTCTTAAAAAAAATGAATATTTCAAGCCAAAAATATGGAAGTTATTCTTCTTTACCGTTTAAGTTAGTAAAGAAAAATAAATTTGTATATAATTTTATTATATTTTTTTATAGCAAAACTTCTTTATATCGACCTATTCGATATTTTTCTAAGATATAATAATAATAATAATAATAATGTACATTGTTTATACAGTACTTCTATGTATCAATATATAAAATATAAAAATAGGTTTTTATATGTTAAAATTCTGATTTTTATTTGAAATTTAAAAGAGTTTTATTTATTGGGCTTCAGTTTTACAAATTCCTAATGTCGTCCGTCCGTTTGCTGTCCGTTCGTCCTTCGTTAATCTCGAGAACTGAGTTAGATAGATGGAAATCGAGACTAGATACAGAAAGATTATTTTTAAATTAAAATAATATATAATTGTATGAAGTTAGAACTGTCGATATCCTTTGATGAGTATCAAACTGTAGCTTTACACGAGAAGGTATTTAGTTAAATTGATGAAAGCTAATGCACTGACAAATCAATTCACCGAAACATAGAAGAGCGTACTTTGTTATACACAATACGTCATCTTAATTAATGCTTTATTGTATACAAATTTAATAAAGTAGGATGTGACTTTATAAAATAAAGTACATTTATTTCGTAAGATATTCCTTGTCTTAAGTTTTAATATTTAATGTACAGTCAAACTTCAATTTAGCGCCATTTATTCGCCTGCAAGGTTAGTAAAACGTTATATCGAGATTCGGCTATTGTATAAACATGCTTATCTGAACATATACACATTATTGTATATATGGCTTGTACAAACATACATTTATATAATAGAGCCGAACTTCGATATAGCGTTACCCCCGATAAAGCGTCAAGAATACTCGCGAACGAATCTTGTCACCAAATTACGTGACCTTCAACTGTCAATTGTCTATTGTACTTCGGTTTAGCGCCACACTCGATTTAGCGCCAGTTTCGGAGGCGAAAACATGACGACCCTTGGCTTTACAGTAGACCACAGCTTTTAAATTTACAATTTTATTACACTTAAACGTTGAGTAAATGTAAATCTATGAAGTTACTTAAGCTCAATTTTTTAAATTAAGTAGGAAAAATCGCATAAACGAATGAATTAGTAAGTAAAAATGGCCTTAAATTAACTTTATGGGTTCATATATATATATTAATGGAAAGCGAAATTAATAGAAAGCAACCGATTGATCGGTGACGCAAGAGATGATCATCATTTTGATGTCACAATGTTTCCGATGGTTTCTGGAGCGTGTTAATTTTCTACCGATTTAACACAACAAACCAGTGTCGAGATATAGAAAATTTGCCATAGAAAATAGGCAGAATATTATATTATATTATCCAATTAAATCTACAAATGTTTTAAAGTATTTAAATTGATCGTCGTGGCACCGAATTACCGTGTATATCTATTTATAGAATTAAAACAATAAATAAATAAAAAAGAAAATAATTTAAGCACTATTCATAATATCAGAAAAGCAATTAAATTTAATTTTAAACATATTTTCTCCGTAATAATAATATAACTTTTTTTATATATTTTTTAATTTTATAAAGTTTCTTCCCCCTCTTAAAGATGCACGAAATTCTTTATCTGATTTTTACATCTAGAAAAGTTGTAGAGAAAAATTTAAATTTTTATTTCGTATAAGATTCCACAACGTATTTTAATCTATTAAAAGTTTACGTAAGAGCTGAAATTTCTAAATTTATTTATTATTTTTTTAGAATTTATAAAAATAAAATGGTTTTTAAGAGGGGTTGTATATGCCACGTCACGCTTATATTCGAGTTATAAAGCGCTTTAAAGTTAAATTTTCATAATTTAGATTATATCCTACATCAATTAATTAAATATTTTATATTTTAAAGCAATATTTATTCATAAATATTCAAATAAGATTTTTATATCTATACTTTTCTATACGACACTGAAGTATCTTCCCGTCCTCTTCGTATAAAATATTAAGTAAAAAAATCTTAAATATATTTAAATGCAAAACTATCATAAAAAAACGATTTCTATTTATGTAAATTAATTTTAAATATATAAAAAAAAATTTAATTCGAAAATTAAATGTTACAACGTTAGTTTGAATTTCTTGTCAGGAATAATTTGTTTAAAAATAATTCCAAGTTTTGTCAAACTAAATTTGTTCCATCTACAAGCCAAATAAAGCTAGAAAACTGATTGTAGTAATTGAATTAAGTCACTTCAATATCCTTTATATGAGAGAAAATAGAATATGTGCAAGTTTAGCGAAGAGGAAAGTGCTTCTTAGCCGCCTCCGAAATGGTCATTAAGATACTATTACTTGGTAATTTGTCCGTGGGATGCGAAGTTTGTCTGCAATTTTTTTTAATCAGAATACATTTGAATAAATAATTCTATAAATTAATGAATTATTCTCAAATGATGTTGACTTCTCTCCTTACTTCTCCTCTTGTAAACACGCAAACAAGAAACGTTTAATGATAATGATCCGTCTGTATTCAAACGCGTAATTTCCATATTTATGTACTCAGCAGCAAGTTTCATTCGGTTATTGCCATTTTATTCGAGAATTAAAATATAATAAATGTAGTAGATTTAAACAAAATTGTTGTCCCTAAGTTTTAGAGCTATTAAATTTCATAAATTGCCCATAATTCTAACGTAGGGATTTGTTTATATCTTAAATAAAATTTAAAAAAAAAAGATAGAAGTGATTATTCGAGCAAAAAATGCATTTTATAAACGTAAGCAATTCGTTATAATTCCTTTAAGATAAAAATTAGAATTTAAACTTAAAATATTAACGTCGATTGGTCGGTGAGATGGTTTTCTTAACGCTGATTGGCCGAATTTACATAAAAGAATATAAACCGATCATCATACTTTCCCTATATTATATATTACAGTCGGGAAATTAAAAACAAACAAACAATAAAAATAACAAAAGGTGCCTGTAATTGTAATATAAGGGATGTGGTTTACAGTTAAAATAACTAGGAAAAAAATGATAGCTTATTAGCAGTATTATTAATTTTTGAAACATAGGCGGTTCTCTGTAATTCTTGTAAGATGGAAATAAAAATCAGCGTAAATTGACAGATTTTCTTAACGCTGATTGGTGGAGATGTCATTTTCTGGACAATGATTTGTTACGGAAATTTAAATCAGCGGAAATGGGCGTAGCTATTCACATCAACCAATTAATATCATTTTACCAAGTTCATTCAAATTTTCTAACCAATCACTGTTAAAGAAACATAACTTCGTTGCTTGAAGTTTAAAAATTGCCAACAAATGATCGACTACGTTTCATTGTATTAATTTGAAATAACTATGTAATTATTCTATTAAAAATCAACGAATTATTCAAGAATAACGATCAAAATTTAATTCGACATCTAAATTTATTCATATATTTTTATTAATCTATATATATAAATGGACGTGTGTGTCGCTATATTTCACTTTTCAGCCAAAACTACACATCGCACGTGAATGGTGTTTGTATGTGGTAGTAGCCCCAAGTCTCCATTCGTATACTATGGTGGTTGCGTCTCGATAGCTATAAGGGTGCGGGAGATGTGGGCTTGAATGTGGTTGACTTCGAAGATTTTCTATTTCGATTTTAAAAATGTTCGAACCGTTTTAAATTCG